TCACAACAAAACCCCCCCAATTGCTGCTCAAAACTAGCCCAATCGCGTTCCGGGGCGAGGGGTAAATAAATACACGTAAATACACGTGTTTGGTAGGTTTCCCCTGGGAAAAAATCGTATTCCAGGAGCTAAATATCAAGTCATTGTGGTCGCTTCAACCCGCGGCAACAGTATTAAAGTAGCCCAATTCCGCGGGAAAACAGAGGACCTGGCAACACACAACACACGAGCGACACCACATCACTGGGACTAAATATTTAGATAAATACTCCTCAAAACCTACTTATTACAGAATACGAGTGTCAGTCAAGAGCTAATGACTCATGCTAGCTGTGTTAGCTCACATTCTCCAGCACTACCAACACTAACAAGACCGAGTTAAACCACAGATTGGCAAATGCTGCATATAAATAAAAGACGGCCATATAATGGAAGTGTGAAAATCAAGAAACCCGCTCCAGTCGAAGCACACAGAGCGCTACAGCGAGATTCCCTCACAAGTGCACTTCTCCAGCATGTTCATACATCGCGCTTAAAAACTTCTAAGCATCAAGACTATTACTGTCTCAGTGTTTCATTCAACGTATTTTTCATATGAATTAAAAACAGCACAGAAACATAAAGCACGGGCTGTTTGTGATGCTAGGCTAACGTTAGCCGCGTGGCTATAGGCCTCTCATAGCAACCGCTGTATTCATCGCGTCAAGCGGGTTAAAACTAAATAATTTCACACAATATTACGCCCGCTGCGACTCTTCGCTGTCAAAATATAGCATATGACCCGCTCATGTGGCAGATTTTGTCCCGTTCTTACCGTTACTGAGAGCGACGAAAGTATGAAACTGAACGCCAATAAGGCCTTTTGAGACTGAGATCAGTGACAGGGTTGCCAGGTTTTCACAACAAAACCCCCCCAATTGCTGCTCAAAACTAGCCCAATCGCGTTCCGGGGCGAGGGGTAAATAAATACACGTAAATACACGTGTTTGGTAGGTTTCCCCTGGGAAAAAATCGTATTCCAGGAGCTAAATATCAAGTCATTGTGGTCGCTTCAACCCGCGGCAACAGTATTAAAGTAGCCCAATTCCGCGGGAAAACAGAGGACCTGGCAACACACAACACACGAGCGACACCACATCACTGGGACTAAATATTTAGATAAATACTCCTCAAAACCTACTAGTTTTAATTCTACGAGTTATGAATTTTAGCATTCCAGGTTGTGATGCTGCATCTTTACCCATAATTCTACATCACTGTCCTCTTGTTTTTGTATTTGTAATTTATGACATACAGTTGCCATCAAATTTATTCTAATTTAATACAACTATTTCTTCTCTATAGCACTTGTGAGAGTTCTGTTGAATGTTATATTTTCTACTCAACTTCAGCACATGCATGGGCTAATGGTATGTATGTGTAAACAGCTCAAGCTAATTCTGATTTCTAATAAATTTTCTAAAGGCTTAATTGTGTTTCAAGTCAATTTTGTTCCCCACCACACAAATAAGTGACTAAAGAACAGCAATGTTGAATAGGGGTTGAATAATTATGACATAGCTGTGTTATTAAAAAAACTCCAAAATATTACATTATATATTCTATATATTTATATATATATATATTTCACATATTCACCCTGTGAAACCCAGGGTGTGTTGAGTCCTTTAGTATATATTTGGCCTTATAGCTCCTTCGTCTTCATATTTTATCACTTTTAATATGCAGAATAACCTGTAATAGATGACATTTTTTATAAAATTCTGGATCCTCAGAAAAGCTTGTATTTTGTAAAGTAGCTACTGGGGTCTCTGAGGGGTTGAATAATTTCGATTGCAACTGTATTTATTTAGAACATAAATTTAAACTTAAAAGCACTTTCGATGGCTGTTTATATAAACCCGGACAAAACACTTACAAGTGTGGTTTATAGTTTAATAGTGTTAGCACATCTCTCACCTCTGTCCTCCTGAGAGCCATCGTTGTAGTTGACCTGTTTGCGGATTCGCTTGCCCTTGCCCAGATTACGAGCCAAATCCTCCTGCTGCTGCTCGTAATGGTGTCGGAGCAGTTTCTCCCAGTAATCTGGATCCACACTTTCCTCCTGCTTGATGATCTCCCTCTGAACTTCCTCTTCCTGAGGGAGAAGACAGGAAACAGTGAAAAAGAAATGTTTCCTTTTGGTAAAAAAAAAAAAAAACATATGGTAAAAACTACATATTTAACCATATTATGGAAGACACTGCACGGAAGACACATGACCAAACCGCAGCTTGTCATAGCATCTGTGGCAACTAAGGCTACACGATGTGCCAAAAAACTATGCTAATGGAATATTTTCAGATAAAAATTGCAATTGGCATTTAATATGCAAAAAACTTTTTTTGTAAATAAATACTAGGTTTGCTGTGCTTGTTTGTATGACTTCACAATTTGGCCAAAAATTGATTATATATCAGTATAACTATTAACAAAAAATAAACTAATAAGCTAAAATAATAATAGTTATTGCTACAGTTAAACAATGAAATATTACAATATAAACAGTATTTATTAAAATAAATGAAATAAAATAAAAAATAATCTATTACTATTGTAAAAGTAAACGGTATTTAAGAAAAATTAAGAATATTATATAATAATATATAATTAATAATATAAAATAAATCAAGCATTTCTAAAAAAAATAATAATAATTATAGTTTTGCTTTACAGTATACTATAACTATAAAAAAAATATATATATATTATATATAATATTGTAATTCTATAGTTATATATATATATATATATAAAACTACAATATTTTGGTCAAATATAGGAGAAAAAATAGCTTATATATATAATGTGTGTGTATATACAGTATATATATATATACTGTATTTATTTTATACACATTTAATTTAATATACAATTTATTTTTTCTGATAACATCCAAATACATAATTTTGTGGGTAGAAACACTTTGTTTATATTTATTTCTTTAATTATATATTTGATTTATTAAAATTATTCTAAATAAGGTGTATACTGTATTTATGTATTTAATATATAGACAAATTTTCCTTTCCTTCTCCTTCCTGATTTGATCATTTGTGTAACACAGGGTTAAAGGTTTAAAAGGCAATTCATATTCAGTAATTGTATTGATTTAATGCACCGACGCTATGGGATGGGAACAGAATTTGAGCTAAATTGAGCTGAATAATGATCCAATGGCACTGTCTTCTGTAGCTGATGTTGAATTCATTTCATAATTGATAATTTTCACATTTACATTAAGCTGCTTTAAAACAATTTGTATTCTATGAAGAGCTACAGAACTGACTTGACTTTAGAGACGCAGTAACAGCAATAGACCTCATCAGCTTAAACGCCATATTCAACGGCACGCACTGTATAAAGGTCTTAGATCATGTCATTTTCACATCTAATGACCTAACTGTTTTATGGAGTTTTTGCATATTATATATATATATATATATTGATATGTTAAACAACAGTACAACCATTTGAACACACTGTACTTCAGTCCCTCACAGCCTCGTTTTCATTCAACAGGGCTGGGGTGATATGGCCAAAAATATTATCACAATATTTTCCCCATATCATATGATGATTCATTAACTGTTAATGGGGAAGGAAATATTTTCCATGTTTGTTAGACCTTGAGAATGAATGCAAACAGAACTTTCTTTGTTCACAATTTAACTCCATGTAGTAAGATACCTTTTAATTTGGGGCCCCATTAAATGTGTTTGATTTTCCCTTAAATTCTGTTTTGCATTTAATTTTTTCCAGATTCTGTGTTTTATGATTCAGTACAAAATTATCATAAAAACAGTGTCTAATGAAATGGTTAAAACTTTTAACAGTTTGATCATTATTTTAAAATGTAATCAAATTTAATTAATTTACAACAAAACATTGCATTTTATTGTGAAGCAAGATGCTGCACAAAAGAATTGTATAAATGAAAAAAAAAATACCTTGGTTGTATGATTTTCCTTAAAAATTATTACTTTGAGAATTATATTTTAGTATACAATAGTAATTTATTTTTGTCATAATTTCCTCAAGTTAAACCGGACTTTTTATTTTGACGGGTGAAGGTCTTTCAGTTTCAGTGTGTCTTGACGGTAGTTTTTCTCAGATGAAGGCTTGTGAAGTGACTCAGAGCAGCTCTGGAGAAGAAGTTCATGTGTTCATATCCTCATATATTGAGACACAGGCGCTGAAATCACAGTGAGAGTCACACGTGTTTGAGTTCGAGTATCAGACGAAACCATTCGCACAGACACGCAGAACATGCAGTTATTAGACGCATGCACTGACTGGTTGTTGCATTTATTTCTGCTGTTAGATTAATCCATATCCAGTCAAAATGTCCAGTTTATCATCGTTATCAACATAAATTTTATCTCGATATGCTATAGTTTTATCACCCAGCCCTTGTGCAACCCTGACTAAAGTCTATGCTTGGATCGATTGAGGATTCAGGAAGAGCAGCACACAAGACACAGGAGCAATAGCCATCTTTATTCTTGAACTGGTACCCTTTATACAGACACAGAACCATCATATGAAGCTATTCCAGGATTCAGACGACAGCATGCCATCTTAGTCTGCCGCATATCAATAGCCTGCTTGTTGGGATATAAAAGCATCGAATCACCCGTAGAACATGGAAATAAACTGTAAAACTGACTTCGTTCTGTTGAAAAAAAAAAAAAAAAAAGGGCAAACAGACAAAAAAAAAAGAAAGAAGAAGAAAGAACACAAACAGGGTTCATGAAGGAGACCGTGTATTCAGAAGGGTTTCACAGCCCGTGTTCATCTAAAGAGCGGAGGACAGAAGCAAGAGCAGACAGGAACGGAGGACAGGCGGCTGATATCTGGTGCTCGTGGATCGGTTTGGATATGGCACACACCTTTTGGTCCACAGACGTTTCTCACTGGATCAGTTTTCTCATATCTTTTTATATACTGTTGCCCATTCC